ATTACATAGATATAAGAAGATGTGGTATGAGTGCCAATGAGACAACTCTCCATCCAAGTCACAATTTGTAAAAGTAAACCCTTATAGGTCAAAGTACGGTCTTCAGCACGGAGCCTTGGCTCACACCGAACAGCAAGCTATAAAGGGCCACAAAAATTACTAGTGTAAAACCATTCAAACGGGAAAACCAACGGTCTAATCTATATAAAACGAGAAACGAGAAACACTTATGAACCACATCAACAAAAGACAACTACTGGACATCAGATTCCTGACTTAGGACAGGTGTAAACAAATGCGGCTGGTTTAAACGTTTTTATAGGTACCAACCTTCACCCTTATCTGAAACAATAGTGTAATATCACAACATAGAAATACACACTATAAAATATCAATTGAACTGGCTTAACTCAATCAACAGATATATTAACACTAGTGAACATACACTGAACGAATAAAGTCGATCTATGATACAATGTAAATACAAAATCAATAAAATAAGGGGTGAATAAATAAAGGCAACAGTAGTATAACGCTGTGAGATGTTAAACAATTTAAAAAAAACAACAACAATAACCTGAAAAAAAGCCCCCAAATATAATAATATACACAGGTAAATAAAATTAATTTTGTTGTTAGATAAACAGTTTAAATGGAGAACGGAAATATTTTTACAAAATAAATAATTTTGTTGTTCATAGTACGAAGGAGTGAAAATTTATAGTCATACCAAACATTTATCAAAGCTGGTATATAGACGAGATATAACCCGAAATAAGTAAACATTAAATAACAAATAAGCATTACAAATAGTATCAACAGGTCAAATTAACAAGACAGTACGATTTGAGAGTACTCGCAGTTACTGACAGCTAGTTAAAAGCCAAAAACAATTGATACTAAAAAATGATGCATCAGAGACTAAAATCAACTAAAACACATCCTTGGGATTTAGTATTTTAACGTCATGGACAGTCTTTATTTCTACGGTTATGTTATTTAAATGGCGCGGAAATTAAACACAATTCATGGAAAATGATTGATCCTTGTTGTGCTGTTAAACCACTGTCTTATGGCAGGAGGATGAGCGCTAATACACATGTTTAGCTCCATCAAATGCGTTATGTGCCTTTCCCATGTCAGTTGGTTGAATTCAGTGGTTCATGTTTGTCATATTTGTTTTTCCGTATTTTGTATTAATTTGTTAGTTTGTCTCAAAGTTGGCGTTGATGATATAATTGTACAGTTTTTTAAGTAAATACAACTACTCGTTTAGTTGTCATACTCATGCATTTGTTTCTCGTGTTAAGTTCATTATCGTTCGTCGATCAATGTTACCTAGACTTGTTGGTTTCTCTAAACACAGGGCATAACCTTGTTATGTATTGTCACAATTATCAAGACATGTCAATAAGAACAGAGTCCTATGAAAAACATGAAAAAACTCTTATATATGTTGATATCCTGTGGTGTTTGTCGTTGATGGAATATGTTCGTTGTTGGTCTGCGGTTTGCATGTTGTCTCGACTATTATATTATTTGTTTGTGCGTTTCTCTGTTATGAATGTTCTTGCGTGTGTTTCTGCTTAATTTCTGTCACGTAGTGTTTTAGCGATATTTTTTAACATTGTCATAAAGCGGGAGGTTTGGCATGCCATTAAACCAGGTTCAACCCACCATTTTCTCTCAAAATGTTGTGTACCAGGTCAGGAATATGGCAGTTGTTATGAAATAGTTCGTTTCTATGTGTGTTGGTGTTTGTTTTTATTTGCACCTCGGTGTTTCTGTTGTTCCTCTGTTTTCCTCTTATAGTTGATGTGTTTCCCTTGGTTTTGGTTTGTAATCCTGATTTGTTTTCTCTCAATCGATTTATGACTTTTGAACACCGGTATTCCACTGTTGCCTTTATTTACAGTGAATTTGTAGAATCAGGGATTTTATAAAATCCTAGAACTTTCAAGGTTTTTGTATAATCACTGAATTGATAAGTGATTTCATAAAATCCCTTTTTTACCTTTTTTTCCTAATTAAATTCATGATTAAAAATAAATCTGCTCATTTTATTAAAATTAAAAAAAAAAGCCTTCATTAGTTACATTCGATAATTTTGAAACTGATTAAGCCTTTGATATAAATACTAAGAGGGAAGTTTTCACTAAAAAGCTGACATACTGTAAAAAAAAGTCCTGACACAGATGTTTTCAAATCAAGAGCAAACATGCACTAAAAATTACTTCAAATGTTTGAGTGAAAATTAAAATGAAACATATGGAACCGGGAAAAATATGAAAAAATATTGGAAATTTTTCCTGAAGAGCCACAAAAAGAAAACAATGCAAGCTCTCATTATTACCTCGTTTGAAAGTAAGTTAATGTTTATTATTGTGCATCTGTAATTACTCAAAGTTATGAATATAAAAATAAGGAGATGCGATATGATTGCCAATGAGTGAACTTATCACCAAAGTTCAAATGAAGTGGATGTAAGAAATTATAGGCAACCGAACGGCTTCCTACAGTTAGGAAAATCCATTCCGTATCGTCGGCTATAAAAGGCCCCGACAGGAAAAATATGAAAGAGCCCAATTGAGAAAAACGAACGGCCTAATTTACAACAAATAATTACCAATTATATCAAATATCATAATTAAATATAAAAACATTAGTAATTGCAGTGATGAGAAGAGAAAAACGCATTGCAATGAGTTAGACATTGATTGGTTTTAGGCTATGGGATTCAATCGCAAATAGTACATGCATATCAGGACGAGAGCATCTTATTGTGACATGACAATTGATATATAAAAAGCAATCAAGTGATGTATTATTTATGTAGCCTATAAAAAGACATGTACATGTATATCCACAAAATAATAATAAAAAGAAAGACAACATATAATGTAGATAAATACTTTGTTTTGTACTTGCATTTGTCAGGTACCTGTATTCTATCAGAAAGTGATAAAATTTGAAATAAGTTTCTGTTCTTTCTCCACTCTTAAGATCTAAATAAAATTAAACATGTTTTTCAATGAAAGTATGAAGTTCTTCAATGTGGAGATGTGAACAAAAATCGAAAGATAACATTATATTTATATCTCTTGGGCATGTTAGAGACATGTCACAATATAGTGCAGAAAATTCACATATCAATAGGTCATGGTGATAGGACCAAAATGGTAAAGGAGGCAAAAAGAAAGTATGCAAAAAAAAAATGTTTTATACAAAGCTTTTGAGATTTTAAAGGAACTTTGCGAGGAATGTCAACTAAAAAAACGTAGTTCTGTTTTTCAAGGCCATAATAAACAAAGAGTTGAATTCCGAGGACAGGTTGATTTCATAAACCTGAAATCATTCAACCATTCAATGAAGTTTCACTTCAGTGTTTCTGTTGTTTCGTTGTTTTCCTCTTATAGTTGATGTGTTTCCCTCGGTTTTAGTTTGTAACCCGGATTTGTTTTCTCTCAATCCATTTATGACTTTTGAACAGCGGTATACTACTGTTGCATTTATTTATTCCTATTCTAGTTGTTGATCCTGGAAACGGTTATCCAATAATATAATAGAATTTCATGGAAAGAGAGAAAGGTTATCGTTTTGCTACCAAATATGGCATTTTGTTAGGATCATATACAAGAACCAATTTGAACCCATTGATGCCCTTGTTCTCGAGTCCGTCAACTGTATCTTTTGATCTTTTCATATATTTTCGATAAGCTTTTAAAATGTCTTCCATTTGTGATTGAAAAAGATTTTTTTTTAATCTGGATGTCCTGGATTTAGTTTAAACATATTTTATTTGCTGAATTAAAGCAGAATGGATTAGACACAAGTATTTAAACTGATGTAGTCATCTCCATTATACAATATACAATATAAATAAATACAACAAATTTATAATGAGCATGCATGTAAAGCAAACAGTAAATAGAATATAAAACAAAAAAAGGTAAAAACCAAAGAGAAAAAAAAAAAGAAGGACAGATTGAAAAAATCATATAATTGTGTTCTGGAAAGAATAAATGTGAACAAAATATGTGTTCCCGTCGAAAAGCAGGGAAATTATATTACAGTAGATGCCACACAAACTTATCATGCAAATATAAGTAAATTGTAGTATTTATATCAGTTTAAACTAGTAGTGTTTATTACGACAATCATTGGTCTATTTTATAAGCGGGATGTATGGCTAGCCATAAAACCAGGTTCAACCCACCATTTGTTTCTTCTTTTTTTGTCCTGTACCAAGTCAGAAATATTGCAGTTGTTATCAAATAGTCCGTTTCTATGCATGTTGGCGTTTGTTTTTTGTAGCAGTTCAGTGTTTCTGTTGTTCCGTTTTGTTTCCTCTTATAATTGACGAGTTTCCCTTAGTTTTGGCTTGTGACCCGGATTTGTTTCAGTTAAATCGATCTATGACTATTGAACAGCGATATACTACTATTGCCTTTATCTATATTAAGAAAAACACATTTTTAGTATCAAGTTGAAACTTATAATCAGGGATTTCACAAAATCCCTACCACTATTTGTAGTATCTTTATAAAATCCCTAACCATTTCAGGGATTATAAAAAATTACTGAAACTGTAAATGATTTTACAAATTCACTGTATTATATGCATGCATTTAGAACGCTGTTGATATGAACACAACGTTATTATCCCCCTTTGTACATATGCGACAATACGGAAGTGAAATTCAGTGTACAACAAGTCCCACAAGGAGTGAGTGAGTTTTTTTACACCATGTTCCTTATTATTGCTTTCACCTCAATTACTTAGGGTTGATATATTGACAATTATTAAATATTTTAAAAATACTATCCTATGATTTGTTTTTTAGTTTCCCACCAGTACGTTAACTTATGGAAAAGATTTTCTGTATACATGATTTAATTTTTTCGACATTACATTTAGAAACTCTTTGGATAAACAAATTGTTCGATAATATGAGTGTTTACAACCATGGTTACGTCCATTTTTTTATTTTCAGCGCATGGTCGTTCTTTCTATATATAATGTGGAAGTACTTCCGTCAGTATGGAGTTGAAATGCATTTGATATATATGTATATAAAACAATTGGGTAAGATATTTATCTTTTCTTATGTGATCAAGTTATGATTTGTTGTCATTTTCGTATGAGATTAGCAGTTACCTTAACATTTTACTGTTTGCTGATTAACGATGATAATTCCAAGGCGTGTGCTTTGAGAATGATTGTGTCTTTGTACAATCGCAGGGAAGTGGAAAATCTTGACTAGGCCAAATTGAATGTGACTGGAAAGCGTTTTGATATTTTTTTAAAATATATATCGATAGTACAGTACAACCTGTGACTTCCTCTTAGTTATGTCCACCCTCTTGTATGGTCACCATTGAATGGTGGTCATTTATTGGGGTATTCAATCTTGAGATGTTGGCCATTTATTGGGGTCATAAAACATAGGTTAAAGTTTTATCTAATTATGTTACCTGTTGAAATCAATCAGGGTTAAAGTTTTCAGCTTGTATGTTTCATTAAAATTTACCTGTACAGGTAACTCAGGTTTCTTCTCAAATGACATATCACCTTTTCTTTAAAATGTAGAATAGAATGTTGTTTTAGTCTTTGTTAATTCATATCATTTGTTGATTTTTCTGTCTTTATATTTACATATTTTCTTTTTTTTAATAATGTTATTTTTTATTTGTTTTTTTGCTTCTTATTCTTTTAATTTCTTTTTGGAAAGAATCTTGAGTAGAAATGATAAAAATTCAAAGATAAGTAAAGTTATTGACTAGAATTTGAAAACATAACAGAGAATCCTTTAAATTATTTTTACAGTAAAAAAAAGTTATTGTACATGATGTACACAAATGATGTACATGGTATTCAATTGTTTGTTTGCATTATTAAATGAATAATTATTAATTATAACTTATAATCATGCAAATGATATGTTTAAAGGAACCATGAAGCAAGTAATTTAACAAGCCTGTTTCTTAACTAATTAAAATAATCATTGATAATATAATATCAATATCATGAATATCAATCCTTTTACAATAAATTTTGTCAACAAAGTTGTACAATTTATTTTCATGATTATTACTCGGGAAAACTAAAAATATCATTATATGGTATAGGAATAAACTATTTTTGTTTATCTTTTATATATTTCCAAATCTCAAAACTGGAGTTGTGCACGAAGAATCACTAGAGACTTAAAATTTTCCAAATGGCTACCTAGTTATCATCAAATTTTGACATATGCTATTCATAATGAAAAATGTTCTTATCTCTATATTGATCTGAATAAAGTAAATCTTATGAAAAGAAATTATTTTAAGAAAAAATTGTCTTCCTTTTTGAAACAAATATGTTATCTTCAGTTTTGCTAATTTTATCAGTTAACAGGCAAAATTTGTATCCAGAAAAAATAAAATACACTTCTATATAGATTGTGACATTTTTATGGTCTATTAATTAAATCACTTTTTGTTTTTTTTTTTTTTTTTGTTTTTTTTTTTTTGTTTTTTTTTTTTTGTTTTTTTTGTTTTTTTTTTTTTCAGTGTATAATTTTATTTGAAATGTACATTTGTTAGAGATACATAAAGTACCGGTACCTTATCCCGGTCTCGTTGACGTTAGTATATAGCATTTCATAAGGTTAGTACTTGTTAGTACACAACATACAATTTTGCTAATAAATAATGTATAACAGGATAAAAAGAAATTACTATGATATATTATAAATCTTAGTTAAGAAGATCAATTAATTTTTTCTGCAACCAAATTGTAGAAGTTTTTATATTTGCCTTGTTTATTTGTCAATATTTCGTAATGTTGGAAAAGTTTACCTTTAAAAATTTCAAACACATTAATTTGTTTTGTTTTCTGCTCGGATATGTAATACACTTTATATATAGTAAAAAGTACGATTGTTAGAAAATCGTTGATATTGTAATAATTTGTATCGTTTATCTTATATCCATACAAAAGTGATGTCAGTGATATTATATGATGTCCTATTTTAAGTTTGTCTAGTATTAGTTTTATTTGATCCCAAAATGATTTTAGATATTTGCATGTCAGAAAGTAATGATCATAATCTTCAATGACATTACATATATTACATAGAGGAGTTTTAGTTATTTTCCAAGAGAAAAGTAATTGTTTGGTTGGTAAAATGTAATGTAGAAATTTCCATCTTAACATTCTCAATTTATTATCTTGGATATAGTTAAAGATGAAGTACAACATTTGTTCTCTTTTCCTTGTATTGTTATCTAAATTTAGAATTCTGTCCCATTTTTGAAATCCTATTGCTTTCTCATAATATCTATTTAAAAGCAAGATGTAGATATCTTTTGAGGAAAATATTTTTATTGGTACCATTTTTCCTTCTCTATCTTTGAATTTAAATTCGGAGTCGGTAGCAACTTTTGTTTTGATTGACTCTTCTTTTATGAGCTCTTGTAACCACTTTTTTGGTATTGCTTTCATCAATTTAGAATATTCCGAAAACCAATTAGCATGGCAAGATAGTTTATCCAAAATCTTATTTTGATTAATTTTTCCTTTATCATCAATTATGTCATTTACAAATAAAATTTTGCTGTTTATCCAATTTTTGAAAATAAGACATTTACCATTTAATTTGATATGCTTATTGCCCCATATTAGTTGCTGTCTGATATGCTTATATGTTAGTCGATTTGATTCTTTTTCAGATTTTGAGTTTATCCATGATATAATTATTTTTAAGTAAAATTCTGGAACAATTTCTTTTAGTTTATTGATTAGATTAATATTGTTAAAGTCCATTTTAAATATAAGGAATTCTTGTCCAAACTTGTCTAAGTAAAATTTTGGTAAGACTTTCCAATTGGGTGATGAGTCTTCATTATCAATGAGTCTTTTTACCCAATTAATATTTATGGATTCTATATATTTATCTATGTCTATCATTTTAAGTCCGCCGGCAAGATAATTTTTACTTATTATAGCTCTTTTAATTTTTTCTGGTTTATTATTCCATATAAAACTATATATTATTTTTTTAAATTTTGCGAGATATTCTTTATCAATATCTGTTACTGATGCAACATAGGTTATATTTGGTAGGATTAGTGATTTAACAAGAGTTATTTTACCTAACATAGTTAATTTTCTTTTATTCCAATCTTTAATTATTTTTTCCGATTTTTCGTATTGTCTTTGCAAGTTTAATTTTTTACACTCATTTTTATTAAGTCCAAAATATATTCCTAATACTTTTATCGGTCCTTGTGTCCACTTAATGTTTTCAACTTTATCTTTACAAGATTTTAAATTTCCGAGCCATATCCCCTCTGTTTTATTTCGATTAAGCTTTAGGCCTGAAAGTGATCCGAAAATTTCGATAATATTCAAAGTTAATGAAATTTCTTGTTTTGAATTTAAAAATAAAGTGGTGTCATCTGCAAGCTGGCTTAACTTTAGAGTATGGGTTTTATTATCTAGTTTGATTTGAAAACCTTTAAATTTTTTATCTTGTCTTAATCTACAGGCTAAAATTTCAACAGCAATTACGAAGATTATAGAACTCGCGGGACACCCTTGACGGATCCCGCGCTCAATGCTGAAGGGTCTTGAAATCCACCCATTATTTAATATACAACCCTTTATATCTGTATATAAAGTATTTATCCACTTCAATAAAGATTTCTGAAAGCCAAATTTCTTTAATGAACAATACATAAATTCCCATTCTAACGAGTCAAATGCCTTTGAAAAATCTAAAAAAAGAATAGCCCCGTCTAAATCACTTTTTGTTCTGTGTATTATATTGTCGAAACTGCAGGACTGGCATATGCATGATACATATTCTTGGTATACATTTGCAAAGAATATTTCACTCAACTCAGGCCTTTTAGATAAAGTTAATAATTGCAGGGACTTGAATGAATTAGATTCTTTAAAGCCCTTGATTAAAAATGAATTTTAAGAAAAAAAATAAGAATATTTTTGAAAATAAAATAAAAACTTATGATGAAAACAGTAAACTCAAATGCTTCACTCAGTAAAGAATTAGTGGTCATAATTTAGAAATAGAAAATGGTGGATAAAAATTACTATAAAGGATAGAATTGCTTGTAAAATTAACATAACAACTTAGAGATATTCTATTTGAAAATTGTTTACCTTCTCATAATTATGTCTCTGACCAGTTTGTGAATAAAATCTTGAATCTTATGAATAAAACCTTAACCAAGAACAAAAAGTAAAAGAAATGCTAAACCTCTATAACATGGAACATGTTTAAAATATTGGCTCCTTTATAAAAAAAAGTCATTAGAACTTAGGGCAAAACCTAATAACTTTTTTCCATATGCTTTGATTTCTTATAAAATTGTTTTTTATTTGCATTATAATGATTGTTTTTGTCTTTTTTTGTCAGAAACTTGATTGAATTGTAATATGTTTATATGACAACAAAAATATTATCAAATTTTTCTGTAATGAATATTTTGAATATACATGTATTTATTCAAAAGAGAAATAATGAATTGCCTAAATTTTATTTAAAATAAGTCCTAAAGATCATCTTAAACATTTGTTAAATCATGTTAAATGCAGTAAGTATAAACAATTTTGATTTTAGAAAATTAATCTGAGAAACACCTTTTCAATGGAAAAAGGCAGGCATTGTGAAAGTTTGCATTATATATTAGAAGATGATATTCATTTATTATTCACTTGCCAAAAAATACATGTAAAAATAACTTAAATTGATAGAATTATTTAAAAGGTATAACATCAAAACAAACAGTCATGAAAAAATGTTTACAAAAAAAAAGTTAGGAAGCTATATGTTCAACTAGTTTTATAATTATTATTTCATTTTATTTTAGAATTTTCTTGTCATAATCAGTTATTAAATTTGACAAACACTTATATTTTACCTGAGACACTTTACCTGTAAGTTATATAATTTTAACACTTCAATGCAGTCATGATTTCCCTTTATCCTTGACTAGTTTTTGATTAATACCTTGTGTATTAATTAAGCAACAGGAGGTATAATGATGGACATTTAGGGCCATCATGGTGACCATATTTTTTATGGCCACCATTAATAAGATAATGTCACAGGTAGTACTGTACAAGATTATTTACTGTAGTAGATTTATATTTATAGATGATGTTAAACAATTACAAAAGCAATACAAAACTGTTTGTTAATATATTCGCAGTATTGCAAACACCAAGTGAAACGAAAAGTGTTAAACTCATCAGATTCAAATTAAACAAAACAGATCACATAAACTTTCAACAAGGTACTGTCGTATCAGAACACAAACCTTATGTTCAAAATTTGTTATGACAACCGGAAAAAAATGTATATTAATTCATTAAATGACATTCCTCATCTATCATCGGTCAGATATTGTAATTTGTAATTAATGACATACACTGTCAAAGGTTGTGTTAAATTGCAAGTTGCATTGTAAGCATCACATTATATTTCTCAATAACAAAACAACCTGTTCATGTAACCTATGTATGTGAATCATTAAAAAATAGCATGTGGTATAGATCAATTGACTAACTGGAATTAGAAGCACTTTAATTTGAAAATATGACCTTCCCCTTAACGGTGCAAACAACAAGTTAAATCACGATCTTTTTCTGAAATTAGTTCTATCAAAACTTTAGATTTTTCAACCCTGTATACCACCATTCCCCGTGTGAAATTGAAAAATCGTCTTAAAGAAATAATTCATAATGATTTTCAACATAAAAATGGTAGCATATGCTATAAGTTTGTTCTTATTTTCATATGAATCGGAGTTCCGTCACACACCTGCAAAAACAAGAAGATCAAAGAAACAGGTCATTTAATTTCACATTCAGATATATTGATGATGTTCTTTCCATTAACAATCCAAACTTTTCTGATTGGGTTCCATTAATATATCCCCCAGAACTAGAAATTAAAGAAACAACAGACACGTCTCGCCTCATATTTAGACTTAAACCTCGATTTTGACATACACGGTCATCTCAGTACCAGCATCTATGACAAACGGGACGATTTTAATTTTGAAATTTTCAATTTCCCCCACCTAAGTAGCAATATACCAACTTCACCTGCATATGGGATATACATTTCCCAACTTATTCGGTATTTAAGAGCATGCAGCAACTACTCAGACTTTGTAAAACGTCACCGGTTTCTGTGCAGAAAATTGATGAACCAGGGGTATGTCAAAGAACGTCTCGTCCTTTTTCTAAAAAAGTTCATCGGAAGGTACCAAGACCTTGCTTAATTGTTGATAAATATTCCGTATCAACTTCACAAATAATAAACGATGGTCTTGAAGTATAGATTCTGGGTACTGACGTTGTTTATCGTCTTAATAACGTGTTATGGTATTTTTTTATTTGTCTTTATGAATATTACTTTTATTGTTTAGTCTGTTTTTGGTGGTATCCATTTGACGTAGCTCTGTACTTATACATCCTGTCATTGTGTTATTGTTCTATGATAATTTTTGTATTCTTATGTTTCATTTTTGCTAATATGCTTTGTCTATATGCCTATGTGTTTCTATGTTACACATGACCTCTGAACTGGTGCATCCCGTCATTGTGTTATTGTGCCAGGGTAAATGTTTTTTTATATATTTGTTTGTTTTATAATGATTAAGATAATAACACAATGTTGACTGTTGTACCCATATTTTTAACATTTTTACCTATTATGTCTGTTTATTTTGTTCACACATCGTTGTCAATGTGATGGAATTTTATGCGACTGTGATACTAGTGAGAGGTTTATATAGCTATCAAACCAGGTTTAATCCACCATTTTCTACATAAGAAAATGCCTGTACCAAGTCAGAAATATGGCAGTTGTTGTCCATTCGTTCGATGTGTTTGAGCTTTTGATTTTGCCATTTGATTAGGGATTTTCCGTTTTGAATTTTCCTCGGAGTTCAGTATTTTTGTGATTTTACTTTTTAATATTCTGTCTTAAATCATTATTATTATTTCTTTGCCAAGATAGGGTACATGTACATATAAACCCATCATGATGAATTAAACTAGTTTAAAAGTTTCTGACCTCTAGCAATTCTAGTACATCAAAGAAAGTTTTGTTGTGTAGGTAAAATATGTATTTCTTTGTGCATAAGGCTACAAAATAGACATTCGTTCACATCTATTAGTAACACGTGTATTATGGTATGGTCCAATATACACATATAATTAATAAATGTAAATAAATTAATGATGTGGTCAATCTTTGGATTTTACACTCTTGCGTACAATAAAAAGGAAAAACAAGTAGACACAATAACAATCTGATGGTACTGAAGATGTCCTGTTGTGCTACACAACCTTATTCAATTTGCAATTGCAGTTTGCATAACAGTTAAGAATATCAACTTCTTATATATGAACGACGTATTTCCAGTTGAAAACAAATAAAAAATAATCGATTTCCAAATATGCATTGTTTTAGAAATTAAAAACCAAAGAATAAAAGAATAAACTCGCATGGGTTCTCGAAAGTTTCGAATTGATTATCTTCTAGATACTTGATAACAAAGTCTTGTTCGACAATGCGTCACGATGTTGTGTATGCTTTGTTTACAAATAATAATCTCAAATGAACTGATATCGGAAATATAAAGATTAAAATTGTATTAAATGCTCATTTCTGTTTTTTCGTTTTCTTTTTAATTTTAGATTGGACACATTAAGATGGAGTCATCTAAATTAACCGAGAACAAAGCTACTTTTATCGTACTGGTTTTGCTGAATACACATCTCATCAATGGTATGCGTGTTTTTTTTACAAAAAGCATAACTTCAATAATGAAGAAAAACTAAAACCAGCAAACATTACAAATCGTGAAAAATTCAAAAGAGAAAAGAAACAGCATAATTGATGCACACACAAAAAAAAAAACCCAAAAAACAACAAAACAGAAAAACAAATATGATAGAATGAATTCTTTTATGTGTGCATCTATTTCCTGCATTAACACATCTTTCTCGAATAACACTCAATTGAGAATGATATGAATGACTGAGACGAAAACATGTGAAATTTGAAGGTCTATCTTGCAATGCAATATATAATTATGAACAACTTTCAATGTTACCAGAAAGGTCAATACTAACTTCCAAAGGTCACAACAGACATTTGTTATCCATGACAATTGACATATACAATGTGTTTAATAATATACAAAAGACATAGTTTTCACAGGAACATCTCTAATCTGTCAAATCTGATACTATTGTGAAGCGAATAATTTAAATTTACTACATTTTGTATCTGGTTAATTCTTTGCGCATTGTCAATCATAAAACATCTCCTTATTTTTATAATAACTGTCTAAAAACCTCCGATGGAAACATTTTACGCCAAAGTTTATTGGTCTATTGAAATTACATAGTTGAAGTTGATCTCAATCGATATAACAATTTCGCTCGTTATGAAACCTATTAGTGAGTAGCAGCGTCAAATTGGTACAAGTTCAATGAGCAATATTTTTTTGTTTTATTTATTTTATTTTTGTCATAACACAAAATGCGTAATATACACACGCATATACGGTGTCATATGCAGTGCAGATAATACAGTGCCTGATAATTAATATTAAGTTAATTTTAGCAATTCTTATGATAACAGTTTGAGTTGTCTGCTGCAAACTAATTTATTAATGTTTTGTTTTATTTCAATAGTTAGATTTGGAAAAAATTGGAATGTGCAATTAAAAGAGAACACAATTATTTATGTGAAAAATAATCAAAACGAGTACCACTTTGCAGAGTAAAGGAAATGTTGGTTGCTTGTGATTTGCTCTAAATATCACTACCTTTATATGCTCCTTGTTGCAAGGCAGATGGAAAGTAATGATCAGTTTATTGCGACATTTAAAAACCTCCTAACACATAGTGTTGTTAAGATCTCTGACTTTTTTTATAATGGTAACTTATCATTTAACCTTTACTGACGAACAAACTGTCAAAAATATAAAGAATATACAAATATACAAATATATACAAATGCTCTATAGTCGGGTTGTTGTCTCTTTGACACAGTCCCCATTTCCATTCTCAAATTTTAAATGAAGGCATTTTTTTTCAAAGAATAACTCTGAAATCTGCGACCGATAGTAAAGTGTAGTTTCTAATGATATCATTAGTTTGGATACAGAAGGCTCTCCTTAGTAACTGCGATAAATCTATGAAAGAGATGGCTTATTGCTGTTGCTTATACTTGTGTTAGTATTGTATTTAATTATAAGTTACTGTAAAGTGAAGTGTTTTTTTTTTCTTGTATTGATTTTTATATTTTTCTTTGATTTACCATTTGAATTTCAACTGATCGATATAGCAAATAGACAAAGAAATATGTCAACCCTACAAAACATTCTTGTGCCTGTCAGCCTATCGTTAATGGTAAAGGGGCATTAATTACGAATTGGAGAAAGAATCGAAATATGATTTTGTTTTTGTTTCAAACATTTATAAAAGTTGGATATGTTCCAATAATATGTCGTTATTAGCAGTCCTTTTGGTTACATTTTGTCCAAAAATGATATATATGACCATCAGCAGTTTCGGTGGTCACTTGGATGGATAATTAAATGGCGGCTAGTCTAAAATAGGCACGAAATTCTTATACATTATAAAATTTATTATCAATTGATAATTTTTCCTTTTAAACTTTTTGTACTTTGGATATTCTTTTAAGTGTGTAATAAAGCACATTAGAGAATTTGATTCAAATCGGTGAACATGAATTTGAAGCTAGTTCCCCTACAAACTAACTGCTTAATTTATTAGTCATGGGGATGTTTCTAGCTTGACATTCTGTATAGGCACCATCCTTTATAAAAGACGGTATGTTGCCTCTAGACGTCTATATTTTTCTGTATCGTTGCATGGTTGTCTCATTAAGTATACCTCTCATCTCCTTTATTCAAACTCCAAGGATTGACTCGGTTATAAATATATTGTCATCTCTGGACACCTTCCCTCCGACAATAAACCCTTGCTAAAGTTTGGCGTCCCATTTGAATGTGTGAGGTGTATAAATATGCAGCTTCATCCGTTCAAAATGGGGACGTTAAATCCGATGCCATATGATCATGAAGCTAAAATGTCACGCTCTCTGTACGTTAAAGAACACACTCGGAGAAATACCACCTACATTTCTGGAGCGCTTGATATCGTCCCCGGTTTTTGGTAGGATACGTATTTCTTAGTCTTTAGTTTTATATGTTGTTGACTTGTCATCGTTTTTCTTTTTTTGTCAAGTCGTTGTCATTTTCTCTTCAAGTAAAGAGTTTGAATGTCCGTTTGGTATCTTTCGCCATTTATAGTAATTACTCTTTAATAAAGAGTGTTTGTAGGTGGCACGTTAAAAGGCAACATTTATCTGCCTATTACAAGAGAGGTGAAGGATACCAAAGGGACATTTAAACTCAAAAGTAAAAAATAAACTGACAACGCCATGGAAAAAAAAGACAAACAGATGAACAACAGTACATAAAACAACATAGAAAACCACAGAATGAGCAACACGAACCCCAACAAAAACTGGGCGTGATCTTGGGTGCTACGGAAGGGTAAGCAGATCCTTCTCCATATATGGCACCCGTCGTCTTGCTCATGTAAGTGCAAACCTGTTGATAAGTCTAATTAGGTAGGTCACATTCGTGGGAAAGAGGACGTGATTGTAGTTGATTGGAACATATCCGTCATATATGTTGTTACATAGAAATGGAAAGTTTACAATTGGGAAGCTAAAATCATCTCTTCGTGTCGTAAAGTTTTGTTTTCAACCGACCGTCATTGTCAATCTTTAGCATACCATTGTAACCATTAGCCTCATTTATGGCATCTCAGATTGCAGAAACTGCCTATTGTATTGAATGTTAATAGTTTGTCCAACATAATTATTACCGGGTTCTTACTAACATGAGAATGTGGATCAGGATCTGTTTACCCTTCCTGAACACCTGCGATCACCCCAGGTTTTGTTGGGGTTGGTGTTGCTCAGTCTTGATTTTCTACGTTGTGCTTTGTGTACTGTTGTTTGTCTGTTTGTCTGTTTCTTTTTTAGCCATGGCGTTGTCAGTTTATTTTAGACTTATGAGTTAAAATGTCCCTTTAGTATCTTCTGCCTCTCTTGTCGTCCTGCATATGCATGTAAAATTTGCTACTTTTTTCTATGATAGAAAAAAAGGCCACCAATCATGGTCGACCTACCAATTGTATTAATTGTTAATCTATTTTATTGCTAAATTTGCACAGATCGTTTGCCAATGGACGTTAGTATACATCAACCAATTCATTAACATGTAAACCAGATTGTCCCTACAAATACCAGTACTACAAAATAGGAGTGAACATGTGTATAATGTTTGCCTCGTGTGAATAAGGATTGTTTTCATAAATTTTCAGTCATCTTTGTTCGGTCCGACAGCACTTTGCCGTCTAGTAATTTTACGTGTTTGTCAATTTATTCGTGAAACTTAAGTGATGATTTTTGATTCTTTATTGTGAACTCTCCATTTATAAAATTTTCACTGAACGTTATACAATCCAATTAATCGAACACACAGAAACAGAAAAATGTTCTGCAAAGAGGATTGTTTTGCAATACATTTTGAAAAAGAAAGATTAAATATTGCAAAAAATTTTAAAAGATTTTTTTACAACATTAAATTTATTTGATTTTTTAATGTATTTCGTACATGCCCATGCATAGTAGTAACCCCTTGAATATGTTGTAGTTGGTTAACTGTAGTTTGCATGATTATTGTCCAGTGACAAAAAGTCCATACATTTGTAGAAGAAACAAATCATCAATAAATATGTAAGAACTGGAAAAAGCAGGACTGTCACGGAAAAATAAGGGCATGTCGAATAGGAGCATTTTTTGCAACATGAACAATGGATACATTGAACGGAATTTATGACCATATTTATTCGTTTTAATTTATCAATTATAAGTATGTTTAGACACCTCCCTAAGTACAAGTGTAACTGGTAAATGTGAAAGAATGTCTATGCTGTAATCTGATGCACAAAGAAACACAAAAGTTTACCTACACTAAAAAGCTTTCTTTAATATACATGAAATGCTAGGGGTTTGAAAAATTCTCAGAATTTGTTTTATAGCTAGAGATTTCGAAAAGAAGTAAAATTGTTATTGTTGTTGATCAATTCCATTTCTTAACATTGATACACAAATTGAAAAAAATATAGGTGAAATTTTCCAATCATCGATTTGTTTTCTACAGAAAAAAACAAATTTACACAATGAACATTCATGAGGCTTTTTCATTTTTCATTGAAGAAAGTAACAAAACTATTCCTCGCCATTATTGCAAGGTTTTACAAACTGAAATTTGCCTCGATAAACCTCGCATTATCTGTTTCAATTTCAACTAAAATAAGACGACTCACAAGAACAGCCTTTTTTTTCATTTTAGATCTTTTGATAAAAATTGAAAATGTTAACGTTGCATTATGGTTTATTTGTTAAGATTCAAAAATTATCACTAATATGAAAATGTTCCTGTTTGAGAATTTAAATTTTCGAATTTGTTTTGTAAAATAGAAAAATATATAGATGTTTATTCATTGAGTTTAATTTATATTGTTCATTTTCAAGTTCTGACAGCAATATGAAAACATGTTTCAGAGACGTTTTTGCATTTTTATATTACCTTTCAATAGCGATTTAAAACAAGTCTACTGGATATCACACACTGTGCACGCGTATTTATCCTTCAACAGTCCTCAAATTGTTAACCTAAAGAACCGAAAATAGGAAAAAGAGAAACAATGGAGAATTTCAAAAATATTGTCGACAATATAAAATTGAAAACCTATGTTGAAACAAAGTCCAATGTATTCTACGTATAAACAAATTAGAAATAATGTAGATGGGAGCATTTTTCAATTTCAAATTTTACCAAGAAAAATGAAAAACAAATGGAGCATTTGTCTTTTTTTAAATTCATAATGTCAAACTGAAAAATACTTCAAATTGGAACATTATTTCATATTTCAATTTTAAAGTAAAATTGAAAAATCATTAAAGGGAGCAATTGCAATTTTTGCTTATTCGAATAAGATTGACAGACTTTTTTTTTCTAAAGCAAAGAAATATACTTGTTTTAATTCGTAAGAAATGTTAAAAAAAATTGAAATAATGTATGCCATAATGTTATCGTGATATTTCAATATTCTTACAAGTAAGCCATTTCACAGTCTATGGTTACTAAAACTCTAGTTTAAATCAATGAAGAATTCTATTTTTGTCTCTAATTCTTTTTTTTTTATATTAACTGTATTCGCAATCAGTATTTTTGGTACATCGTGATGGATTGTCTTATATAAAATGTGAGCAATACCAGTCTAAGGTTTCTAAACATCTTGTCTACAATATATAAGAGTGACATTTACTTTATTGAAACTCATTAATTTTGGTACACAAGGCCTGATCTTTAATGGAAAAAACGTAAGCAATATGAATTTATTAAAAGTTTATTTGAATATTTCGGCATGCACAAAAACAGAAAAATATTTCTTCTTTTTTTTTAGAGTTAACACTGATAAGATGTATTGCAATTAGTATTTTATATAACTCAGTATGGATTGGTATTCTAAACAAAATAAGTCCAGTAGTTCTTTTTTTATTATAAATATATTTTTGTATTGGAAATCAGCAATTTTGTGACATCAGTGTGGAGTGTTTAAAAAATAACATGAGAGCAACACAAGTCTAAATTCAAAAGAGCATATATCTTCTTGAAAAAAATAAGGAAGGACTTTTTTAACATGGTTGTGCTTCTTACACCACAACTATTCCGACAGGGTTAAGAGGATGAATTACTGAAATCGACATTACATATATTTTGTGGTCACCATCAGGAATTAGTTGACCGACACGATGTGTCGGTGTCTCATCTCACTAGCAACATGTTATCGAGATCTTAGATCTGTAGATACTAATAGAGTCGTCTGATTTGTAAATTTACCGATTGTGTCCTGTTCTTTATTATGACATTTTGACAGTGTGAAATCCCTTGGCGGAAGATGCATGTAAAGTAAAGACGCTTACACTGGAAACGGACCGGGCCCTTTACTCACAACAATGTGCAGTACAACTCCAAGCCTATCGTACTCATACTAACCAAAGAAACCAAAATGCCGGATTTTCTGTTTCGAACAGAGTTTTGGCATTAGGCTGTGATCAAGCTTCAACTGGAATTCATGAAAATCCATCAGTTTGGGTTAATAACATATTTGTTTCCGTTTGATTTTTTTTTTATTATAATTACAACTGTCATTCTATTTTAGGTGCCGTAGTGTATTCAACAAGTGGTGAATCATACCATGGTGATACATTAACACTCACATTTATTATAACACCACCGTTTACGGGTTCTGCCGTAATATCAAAAGACGGAACAAGTCGATCAACATGTTTACCTAGTGTTTGTTCTCCTGCATCAGATAACAATGTTACGTTTAGTCCAAGTATAACGGGAATAACTGTTGAATTTTATCCAGTATCCAGTAATCATGCGGGAAATTGGAAATGCGATAATTCAAATGGAGATTCGTCTAATTACACATTTTCTCCAGAAAAACGTAGTAAGTATGTGACATTTGTTTGTATATATATTCGAATAATCAACTAGCTTTATCAAATGCCAACTTAACATAGGACTAGCTTAAACCTTTCATTTTAAAACAGCACAATATGGTGTTTACAAAATTTTCTCAATATATCTATACAAGATTACAGGGAATAACATAATGATATCAAGTAAGCATTTATATAAACCGATTTTTAGTAACATAATTATGCACCAACGATTTTAATGTTGTTTTCAAACAATGTCTTCTCATTGATATAGCTTACACCTTTTCTCCCTTGTAATAGACGAATGATTTTTTCAGATACACTTTGTGATGACATGAGCACAGACAAAAGTGCACTGTATAGTATTATTCGGTCTCAGATCAGGTGTATACCTACTCATGTTTTGAGTAGTCCAGACTCACCCATGTTCATTCGAAAGTTTTATCGACATCGTGAAAGAAAACGTCCATAATTAATTGAGTTCACTACTCTTTTTTTTACTTTTTGTCAGATATTCGGAATCCTCTAGTTTTATCAATGTATTGCTAATAACAATTTTGCCCACTGACCTCTTCTTTTCATTTCATAATTTTATTGTAAAAAGTTTTAAAAGTCATTTTTTTTTATAAAATCCTTGTTTATTTTTTCATAACTTTTGAAAGGAAAAACGTGTCAATGTTAAATGAATGAAAAGTCTAGAGAGAACTATTTCTCGCCAAATTTTTAATTGATTTTATCTCAAAAACTAAAACACGGACCTGTATTTTTTTTCTAATTTTTAGGCTCCCTTATTCATATTCTATCCCTCTATAACAGTCTTAAAAGACCTTGTTAATTTGATACAGAGGACCGAACATCCTTAAGATAAAAATTACACACACTAAAGAACTTATATCCGGTTTGACATGTTGTTTTTTTTTTAATTTTGAACGATAGATAGTTTTATTCTCGCTGCATTGAAGACCCATTGGTGGCCTTCGGCTGTTGTCTGCTCTATGGTCGGGTTGTTGTCTCTTTGACACATTCCCCTTCAACAAAATATGACGAATAATTTAAATTATATATCATTGATAACTATTTTCCTCTTTTGATCGGTTATGTTCCTTAGGCACCGTCTTACGGTATTTGTATATCCCAAGTCGTTCGCTATGCCCGTGTCTGTAGTGACGTTTTGGATTTCAATGTGCGTAATCTATGTATTACTGATAAGATATTAAGTCAGGGATTTCATTACAACAAATAACTTAAAACCTTTACTAAAAAGTAAAATAACAAAAATACCGAATTCCGAGGCCAATTTGAAACGGAAAGTTCGCAATCAAAAGCTCAAACACATTAAACGAATGGATAACAACTGTCATATTCCTGACTTGGTACATGCATTTTCTTATGTAGAAAATGGTGGGTTTAACCTGGTTATATAGCTAGCTAAACCTCTCATTTGTATAACAGTCGCATAAAATTCCATTATATTGACAAATTATTAAGTAGATACAAAGTTTTGGTTTGCAAGTAAGCCTGTACCTATAAAAAACTTATTTCAAACAGAATAACACATTCTAAATTTTACAGTGATCGTATTTATCGAGTCTGGAAATTTATATACGATCCGGGTAAACTTATCAATCCGTTAAGTAAACTTATTCTAAAATGTTACCAATTCAACAATGTAATGACAAAAAATACTAAATACTATTTTAATACACATATTCATTTTTCACTGTACTACAATCAGTCGATACCTATATTTTGGCATTGCACAAGGTCCTGTTTTTCTCTGACTGCTAATGACGTCTTTACGCTTAATCCATTGGATGTTGGATGAATAAGAATAAGAGTCTTTACACTAAATGACAGTACTCTAAACAGTTTATTCTTTGTAATAATTTAAGAATAGAACAAATAATGTTAATATGCAATGGAGGACGACCTAGCTTTCCAATAACAGATAAAATTACATAAAATTGAGAATGGAAATGGGAAATATGTCAAAGAGACAACAATCCGACCAAAGAGCAGATAACAGCCGAATTCCACCAATGGGTCTTCAACGCAGCGAGAAAATCCCGCACCCGGAGGTGGTCCTCAGCTGGCCCCTAAATAGTATTGTGTACTGGTTCAGTGAAAACGGACGTCCACTAAACTCCAAAACATATAAAGGAACTAAAATTAAAAAAAAACATACAAGACTAACAAAGGCCAGAGGCTCCTGACTTGGGACAGGCGCAAAAATGCGGCTGGGTTAAACATGTTTTGTGAGATCTCAACCTTCCCCCTATATCTGATTGATATTTTAGTCTAAGATACATGATTAATTTAGTAGTTGTAATTTGGTTTAAACTAGCTCTCAGTAACTGCGAGTTCTCTCAGATCTGTGCCTATTTTTTCGTTGTTAGGGATGATGAATGTATAAATACCCTGCCACGTCCGGTCTGTGTTTTTGTTTTTCAGCTTTGTATCGATCTGATGTGTTAAGTCTTTTTCTTCTTAAGTTTGTTCTTATGTTGTGCTGTTACATCACTATTTTTTGTTAAGGGAGGTATGAGGGCTCACAAACATGTATAACCCCGGCACATTCTTAATGTTTCTGTCCCAAGTCAGGAGCCTGTAGTTCAATGATTGTCGTTGGTTCATGACTGTTATATTTATTTTTCGTAAATTGTTTTGTTAGAAATTAGGCCGTGCTGGTTAATTTTCACAATTGGATTGTTTCATATTTTATATATATGGGTCTTTTTCCTAACATTCGTGAATTAATGTGTTGTTCGGTCACTCGTTGAATATTTTTCGATATTTGAATTCTTTGATTAGTTATTCTTTTTATTACATTGACAATGGGCTTTTTAATGGAAGTAGAAAATGTAAGGAACTATATCTTTTTCTACACATTCACTATTTGTTTTGATGCGACGTAATCGACAACGTCTTTACAACAGCTATTTTATATGACGTCAGAGGAGTGAAATAACCGAGTTTACTTCACTTGCGAAATTATCGGTTTTTATTTCACTGGGAAATCACGGTAATTCATAGCAACCAATGTAATACAATAATTTATTTAGGTAAAAGTCTTCCCTCTATTCAAAATTGAAATTTGCAATATTTTAGTTAACAGCAATATATCACTGAATATACATGTATAAGGAATAATGCAAAATAATTTAATACGGTTTAGTATCATAAATACATTATATAAATTTCGAATTCCATGGGATAGGTCTTAAAACTTTGTCCCAGTAACTGCGACAAATTCCAGAAAGATTTGCCCTACAGCAGGCAGATACCCAGTTGAAATTAAACAAAAGAAATTGAACTCTTGTGAGAGAAGGTAAAATAGATGGTACACATTGGTATATTTGAATTGTTTACATCTGTGTCTATGGGGTTTAAAAAGTTAAATAAAGGTGCATAATTCAGGATTGTTTGCATCTTTATACGTGTTTTTACTTAAATTATAGTATGGAGCTTCGAGATATTTGTAAACTTTTAAATTAAACACAATTTTTTATAAAACAGTTGATTTTCGGTAGGTGCAATTACTAGTGTTTTTGTATGTGCAAAAGCATAAATTCCGCCATAAATAATGTCACAGAAAGATAATGGATTAACTTTGTAAAGCATTAATTTGCACCTCTGCCTCCGGCGACAGTTTAAATCCTAAAAATGGGCAATAATTTCAATGTTTTTTTTAAATGTCCTGTACCAAGTCAGGAATATGGCAGTTGTAATCAAATAGTTCGTTTCTATGTATTTTGGCGTTTGTGTTTGTTGCACTTCAGTGTTTCTGTTGTTCCTTTGTTTTCCTCTTATAGTTGGTGTGTTTCCATCGGTTTTAGTTAGTAACCCCGATTTGTTTTCTCTCAATCGATTTATGACTTTTGAACAGCGGTATACTACTGTTGCTTTTATTTATTCATCGATAAGAGAATTTCGAGTCCACCTTTTTATGTTCGAGCGTGTTTGAGTTGAATATTGAAAACGTATAAAGCAAAACCATTTGATACACATCTCGCTTCAGACTCAATTTTTTTATATATTTGGGCTGCAGGTTGATTTAATATTATCAAAAATTCACAGCACTAAAAAATGAAATATATGGGTCAAGTGAAATACCTTTCTAATGAGTCATAACAACAGATTACAAGTGTTTGAATAACAAATTTTTACTAAAAGTACTTGACGACAGACTTTACAAGTGGATCTTGAAAATGCATATCTTAAAAAAACAAAACTACATTTTTTGGTGTGTTATCTTGGGTTATTAGCCTTCATCCTCCTAAAATATTTGGTCTGCTCTTCCATGAAATATCTAATTAGAACATTTTTAAATGTTTTTGAACTTTCGAAAATTCAACCTGACAACCAATCAGACAATAGTTTTCAGTTGCCTAAAAACAGAAAAGTACATTAAATGATACTCAAAAGATAGTAAATACATTTGTAGTTTAAAATACAACTGGCATATAAGAATTGTTATGGGGCTATGTGGATAAATTTATCGGTTTACAACAGCTAAATTGGCAGCGCGTCATCCCTACACTGGCGTAATGGGAAGATAATTTTGACGAAGTAGAATCCTTACTGTATCTTAAGAATAAAACTAAATAATTGAAACTTAAACTGATGCCTCCCTCCTCCCCCCACCAGAAACCAGGATTTTGCATGCCTCAAGATCCTCATCTTTTCCTTGATTCTTTAATGTGCACACAGGGTAAGCGTGTCTATTTCTATTTTAGAATAGGTTCGTTACCAGTTTGTTACTGCATCCAAAATGTTTTATATTTACATAATATTGAACAAGTAAACTTTATTTATCAATTGACATCAATGAACTAAAATATGTACAACTGATCTGGCTTCAACAATTAAATTTATCTATACATAAATCATTCCATTTTAAAATATATACACATGATACAAATTTGTACACACACCACCAACTTGTCCTTGGTCAGGGACACACTTGTCGTAATGGTACAATTTAGTACCTTCCAAGCTACGACTTGTC